CTGATGCCGTCCACGTACGTGGCCACTATGAAGATTTTCTTATAGAATGGAATGCACTCTTTAATAATAAGTTGGAACCGTTCGGTCTGAGTTGAGTAAAATGTGCTTAAATCCATCTGGAAGTGGAGGCAAAATGTCTTTTTTTTTTGGCCCCCCCCCTGTATATTCCGTGTTGTTACTGCTATGCCATACAGGTTGTTACGGTGGAATTGATTTATTCGGTCGACGTTTCGAACAATTTTCTTCAGGACCTTACTGCTGCTCCACCAGCGCCACGCAGCCACTCAGTTTCGGTAGATATTGAAAAATCCATAATCTTCACTAATTTCTGTAGTAATCTACACCACAAACAACCGCAACCAAACACAAAACACCACCTGTAACCCTCCACCATCGATCCCGTAAGGGAAGTGCAGAACACAGTAAGCTTTACTATGTTCTGCAGTGCCCTTCTGGGATCGATTAGGGTGGCATTTGGAGGATGATCGCCTTCTTCGGAACCTGTAAAGTTTTGCCGAACGCCGAGACGAGGTTCGAGCTTAATATCAGCAATCGATAACTACGCCGCGATTGGCTAGGAATGCTTATTTGGCGTTCTTACGAAGAATAGATCTATGTGATCAATCCAATGAGTATCTGCTACCCTTTCTGGAAGTTTGTAAACTCATTCTAGTAGACCGCTTGAGATCCTTGTTCTTGAAGGTTTATGATATGTAGGTGGGGTGGAGGGAGGAGGTCACTATTTTCTCCATCTTCAACTTTGAACCAGTTTGACTTTTCTGGAAGTAACTGAATTGAATCGCACGCTACAGTCCATCAACTATTTCACGATATTCTTCTGCACGAACATTATCAGAAGATTTTGCTAGGTGTTCGAAATTCGAATTCCATGCTTTGCAAGATCTTCAAGATCTTCCGAGTCCCAGTAGGTTCTGCCTATACTCGGTAGTCGAGAGGGTTCAGGTCAGCACACTTGAGAATGCCACCTTTTCTAGGTTCTGCTTACTCTTCAGTTTGAGTAAGTGGACATGTGTGGACTTTGGACGAGTGTGTGCTGGCACTCATCGGAATACCGTATTGGCACGACGCTATGGCTGGCAGCGTGGCTGGTAGAATGCTGCAGTTGTATAGTGAGAGGGTTAGAGGTTCCTCCTAGCCCGGACTCCACGAATGAGGATATTTCCTCAACCAAAAAACTTCAACGCCTACCTACCCAATAACCGCTTTGCTTTGACCTTTGCGACGATGTTGCTCGTGACCTTGGTGAACTGTATTTAGAGGTGCTGTACAATATGGGCCACAGTCTCTGGTAACCAGTGATCGATTAATGAGCAGCAACACTGAAGCATTCGAAATGGCCTCCTTGGCTCGTCGGTCGACGGCGGATGGCTTCATACGTCGTAGAAATTATGCCCAGCAAAGAAGGGCTTGCTTGATTATCGAGTGGCATTTAAGTAATACTTTGCCGTGGAATTTTACATACCTCCCCTTGTGAGTCATATAATCTTGCTGATGCGCCTCGTGGATTTTTCTCCCACTCTCCCTTTACATGTAGAAGCATAACCAAATGGTCTTCAAGATCAGAACCTTTCGCGGTTCTGCTTTTAGAAAAAAGGCGGTTGTTCTCAAAGCATCGTCGTTGTCTTGTTCTCGGGTGTGGTTCGTCAGGACAGAAAGGGACTCTCTCTCGTCTTGCAGCGCGAAAAATTTCTCGCTCTAGGATCTCCATGCACTCATAGCGGTGCACCTGAGTTCCCCGAAAAGTTTTCGCGTGCGAACGAAATAGCCGCTCTCTGTCTCTGTCGTAGTGAACCAAGCCCTTGTTTTCCCTTTGCTTTCTTTCTTGCAATTGATCATGCTGTTTGGATGAATTGTGTTGATGATGTGCACTCATCTCACATGCTCTACTAGAGAAAGTACTTGGCCGAATAAAAGTTATATCAGCCTCTCGAAGGGTTAATATAACAAATAGTCGATTATGGAGGCAGTGGCTTCAGTCCTTTGTCAGTTAGCAGTACTAATGGGGGCGGAAGTGGTGCAGTGACAAGTGGCGCGCTCACCACGCGAGCGGTCCGGGATCAAATCCTGGGTCGTGAGTCGCCCGGGCCAACCAAGCCTTCCATCCCCCGGGGTCGGTTAATTGGTACCAGACTTGTCTGGGAGGATAAAAACACTGACTTGTACATCGGCTGGCCCCCGCAAGTCATTGTATAGGCCACATCGCATTCAAACGCCACTACGAATGTACAAATGGAAGTAGAATGCGTGCCGCATCCCAAAAGGGATTGATCAACGGCAAATGCTTTATCCTTTTTATTATAATCAAGGGCCGTATGTTGAAACAATTGTCGTTTTGTCTCTGATTCGTTGTCGTTGTACGGCTGAAAATAGGCCGCCTCCGAAATTATCATCTCAATCAAGGTTCTTCATTCATGTGTGTAACCATGTAGATGCAGTGATTTTCTTGTCCAGGAGGATTTCCTTGCTAGTTTTCTACGGCTCATTGCGGAGCTTAACTACATACGATAGGTCATGTACAGTTGCGAGAACGCAATTCAAATGCAAGTTAAAATGTGCGAAAGGTGTTCTATATAAAGGCAGTGAAAAATTCGTGGCAAATTGCCTCGGGGGGGGGCAGTGTGTCCGAAGGCAACTGGGGCTAAGCGTAATGCACAGGGACAAATTTCAAAGTGAACGAAAATTGCTTCGCAACCTGGATTCCCTCTTTTCCTCAAGGCTTAGTCAAAACTGAAACTTTTCGTGAATCTGACGCAATGTTACAGGCTGCCCCCCCCCCGAGCCATTTCGCCAATTCGCATATTGAATGAAGTCGCAAACAAGCAAATAAACAGACGAAGCATAGATCTAGGTCTACAAATCTGCTGCGAGAGATTTTGGGCCTGGAGGGTCAATTATGGCGATGTCAGACTGTTGCGAATGCAGTCTTCCGCTTACATAGCAACTCGCTAGGTCCGCGTCGCGCGTCAGTACATGTCTCTAATTTGAGTGATTTTCACTTTGTTCTCGTGGCGCGAGTCCGCAGACGCTCGGTCGATTCGCCAAAGTCGTACATCTGCGCTATCAATTAGCATCGTTAACGGTTCTGATGTTGGTTTTTACCTTTATTTCAAAGATCTTGTCCCTCTTCTTCGACGCGACGATGAACTTGGAATATTTAGCGTTTCTTTTCCGATGTCGCGTCAGTTTGCAACAATCTTAGTCCTTTACAATCCTTTCAACTACTTCGGAAAAAAAGCTAATTGAATGTGTGAAACGATCAGAGCTGGTGTCAGAGTCCGCGACGGATCGCAAAATTGCAAGTGCCCCATTTGAACATTTGAAACACTGAATATGAAACAAGTGGAATCATGAGCAGTCGTCATTCAGCCATCACTATCAAGCAGAAGTGGCGGCAGGATTGGAGAACACCTTGCAGTATTGATCGGGCACTTGTGATTTCCGTGACCCGTCGCGTGAATCGCGCAAATCGCGAAAATCAGCGAAACCTGCGACGGATCGCGGACTCTGACACCAGCCTTACATTATGCTGTTGCTATGATTCGGAGCTTCAAGCGACTTGTGTGCTTTAAACGTGTTGATTGAGCTGCTGAGTATAAAATGGCTTGAAACTGCCTTGTTTAGGCACAGCTCACACATTCCTGCATATCTTTTCTCTTTGCAGCCGAATAATTTGTGAACGAAATTTTGGACTTGCCCAGCATCATGGCATGTACCTTTTATAGAGTAAGTTTTCCTCATTCTGTTGTTCTTGAAATTTCTATTTGGAATAAATCTGGGATAGTTGAATCTTGTCCAGTTGATCCTATTACTCCCACATCACTGTTTATAGGAGCAGCAGATCCCGTGAACGTACACCTGATTTACAGGAGATTCCTTCCTTCGATCTTCGCTTTGCATGCAATTTCAAAGGATGTCTTGATGACCGTCCAATGAGTATGATGGGAGCCATTGAGCATCAGGCGTTTCCATTTTTGTGAAGTATACAAGTTCGTCTCATTTATGCTTTCGCTAAATTGGTATGATCATTGTAGCAGTGAGTGAGGTTTCAGCTTCTGATTAGTTGTTAGCTGATAACTTCTTGGACTTTTGGCCCTATTCCAGTAAGAAAGCATTTGGTGAGACAGGTCATGCCGCGTACAGTAATTCCAATTTTGACTTGGGAGGAACCACCGGAGTGGAAGTAAAAGCAGTAGCGAGATAGTCCACGCATTCTGGGGATTTCCTCTCCTTGACGAAACTGGGAAAACTGCAGGCTGCATGACCAGTACCGCATGCCCCTCTTTACTGCAGTTGTCCGTTTTCCCGGTAATCAGAACCCAAATCATTTTGTCCGATTTCAGAACGCAAGCACATTTCAACTTCAAATGTGAGTACTGCAATGTATATCATGTTAACAAAAGTCACCATCGTCTCTGTCTGGAGGACAAAAGCGGGATTGGTCATTTGCCGGTGGGTTTGAAGCTGTTTCGAGAGTTCCCCTTACCTAACTGTTTAAAATGCTATTTAGTACTTGCGCTCCATCTACACTGTTCCGATGTCTGATCAGGAGTTCCACAGCTGTGTGGATTTCAGTCGTTTTGCAAACCATCACATGATTGCTGTGACAGGTAGAACTCAAGTGGATGTATCGTTTCCCTCGTTTAATTGTTTTGCCTCATGACTCGACCTTGCCTTCGTTCTACTTCAGCTGATGGAGTTCGGCTTGTTCCTTCTGATCGTGTTCCTTCATTACCACCGACTCCCTACAACATTGACTCGTCGTTCCTTGGTACTTAAATCTCATTCAGAATGTCTTTCAGCCGTGCGTATCATGCGTGAATATGCCATATAATCATTTTCTAGGTAACGGTATCGATAGTAGTGTCGCCTCTGACAGGAAGAATTCCAGTGTTTCCTATCGTGACCTCGGTAAATGCTTCAAGAGCTTTCGCACGTGAAGTGAAAATTTTTAGTATATCAATTTGGTCTCGTTTGAATGGTTGCTCTTTTGTTCCGAAACAATTTCATGCATATCAAAGCTTTGCAGATAACTTTGACGAAAACTCAAGCTCGGATAAGTTTGGACGCTCCGGAGGATTTCAAGATAAAGGTGAGTTCTGTGTTTAGTCTTACATCTCTGAAACTTCCATCACAACAGGTCAATCTGGTAATCGTGAGTTCCGAGGACGTGGCCGTGGCGGTTTCCGTGGAAGAGGAGAGCGTGGATTTGGCCGCGGGCGTGGGCGTGGTGGTGGAAATCGCGGTGATTTTTCAAGCAAAATTTCGAGAGTTAACAGCCATCAATCTTGTTCATGTTGTTGCTTTTTTACATTCTGTGTTGAGTAATTTAATTCTCAATTGAGCTGACGTTCAGTTAGAAACTTGATCCTGTTTGAGCGATTCGTGAGAAGATTGTAATTTTAATCATGGTCCAAAGTTTGTATGTGCCTATTGCTGTCATCCCTCAGATGATGATAACGGACGTGAGAACAGCTATCGTGGACGCGGTCGTGGTAGAGGAGGCGATTATCGTGGTGATGGAAACAGTTCCTACCGTTCAAGAGATTCTTTCGGTAACGCTGCTCAAATGTTATTGCTTCTTAGCCTCACAGGCTTTCGGTTTTCACACAGTAGGATATTTTTGTAGGAGACAACAACTCGTCGGGTTTGGAATCGAAACCCAAAAGGGAGCACTCATATTCACGTTCGGGTAGCGGCAGTCCTTGTTCTCCGGTGTCGAAGAAAGCGAATTTCGGTTTGTTCCTCAATACAAGTGCTAGCGTTCGTTAGGAAATACGTATAGAGTGGTTCCTGGGGTTTTCTACTGATGCTAAAGTTTGGCAAAGAAATTTTAGGTAATAACACAAGGACTCGCTCGTATTCGCGATCGAGAAGCGGCAGCCCTCTTTCACCAGCTGCAAAGAAGACCGGTGGGTCTTTTCAATTTATACGATTCTTTGAAGAAGTTTACGATCTATATAAAATTGCCTATTTTTCTGGTTTTTTGTCCTAGCCGTAGAGTTGACGGACTACTTGAACTCAGCCCTTTACCGCCTCTGCGCTCTCTAGCGGGTCCCTCTCCTCTCCAAGGCTTAGTCCTAGGGCATTCTCTAATCGTCTGTGCTCTAGCCATCGCGGCAGGACCATTGAGGAAAAATCAAGTAGTCCGTAAACCTAACCGTAGCAGCCTTAACTGTTAAAGTAACAGCCCTAGCAGGGTTTTTAGCTTCGACACCAATGGTGTGGAACGATGCGATTTCTCCCCTGCAGGCGCTTTTTAGCTCACACCGAATGGTGGGGAGCGTTGCGATTCTCCTTTGTGATTTTATTTTTGTTTGTTTTTTTTTGTTTTTTTTTTGTTTTTTTTTCTCTAGCCAAAAACAAGAAGTGTGATTGAACAAAAAACTCACTTGGAAAGCCGTTAGAAAGGGAGCTGGACGGCTTTGAAGTGGGCGTGGTTTCGAATCGGCCGAGGGAATTGCAGCCGATTCTCAACCACGCCCACTTCGAAGCCGTTCAGCTCCCTTTCTAGCGGCTTTCCAAGGTGAGTTTTTTGTTCAGTCACACTTCTTATGTTCTTGACTAGGGCTAGCGCATCGTTCCACACCATTAGTGTCGAAGGTAAAAACCCTGCTGGGACTGTTGCTTTAAGGTAATATTCGTTCTGATCACGTCTCCAGACCTTGTTCGTATTCTCGATCTAGGAGCAGCAGTCCAGTAGCAGGGAAGCGGAATGATGGTAGGTTGTTCCAGCCGTATTCAAAAAGCATAGTTCAGAGCACATTCATCCCCTGCAATCTCGTTCAGTTAGTCGAGAGGCAGCAAAAAGTAGTGATCGAGAAAGAAAATGTTCAAATAAGAGTACCAGGAATTCTTGTTCATACTCCCGATCAAGGAGCAATAGCCCGATCAATTCTGCTGGCAAGGAACCAAGTACTGGTCAGTCTCATGATTTGCTTCATCATAGAACGACTGATGGAAAACGAGTTGTAATTTGTTTGCTTTTGTTCTTTGATAATGCAGCCGTAGAGCATTTCAGGAAGCCGTCAGAGCTCTCGCTCTAAACCTCATTCGTACTCACGGTCAAGAAGCAATAGTCCGGCAACGACCAAACGAAAAAGCACTGGTGTGAACAGTTCTTTATGAGGAGCTTTTTTTTTCTTGATGTGTTTCTTTATTTTTTATCCACTACTTTCTTTGTGGTTTCTTTCGAATAATTGTAAAATTTAGTCAATGTGTCGATGAACAATAGAAGCGATCGTTCTTACTCGCGCTCGGGAAGTCGAAGTCCACCCAGAGCAGTCCCTACGAACAATACCACAGGTAAATGTTCTTCAGTTTTTGTACTTTTTTGAATAGCAGTTGCATGTTTCTTCTAATAGTCTCATTTTATTGCTCCGACAAATTTGTCAGAAATTCTGCTTGAAATGAAACGTGCGTCGGAGTGCAGAACACCTTCAGGGAACCTGTCGACTAGGTCACGCTCTCCAAGTGGAGGTCGCAGTCGTAGTCCCTCAAGTAACGAAGTAAACAACAATAATCCAGAAGAACCACATGAAAACAATACTTCAAGAAGTATCTATAATACCGAGCCAGGTCAGTACGTTTCATAGGATATACGGTGTAATGTTGCTGGCTGCAAAAGTGCATGCGTGCAGCGCTGTGCCACAGGTTACGGTAATCGCCAGCATGTACCAGACCGCTGTTTGTATTGTTTATTGTGGAAATGTGCCTGGCAAAGATAGGTGTAATCTTACTCATGACGCAATCACAGCTCAAGCTCTAGTGTTTTGCTGTACTTATGTTTGCAAATAGATACGGCACTATTCAAAAATGTCAGTTCAATGTCAAGGAAGTGGCGTCAGTCAGAAAAAAAAGGTTTTCAAATCCGTGATCTGCACAGCTGGTAGGTGGTTGGAGACTGGGTGACTGTGCAATCGCGAAAGCTCAGCGGTAGCGCTGTAGCGAAATCAGAAGCAACGAGTGGGCTGAGTCTGACATCCACCTTAGGCTGGTGTCAGTCTACGATTTCGCGGTTTCGCGCAAATCGCGAAAATCAGCGAAACCTGCGACGGATCGCGGATTCTGACACCAACCTTAGTTTCAGCCGCTTGTCCTCTTGTGGTTATGTTAGTTGTATACCGTCAATAGACCATCACCATAGGTTTATTTATTTGCAGACAATTACATGAATTCTGGATACGGCTCTGGCCGTCAGTCGGTGAGAGGTAATTAATTTTGCTATTATCCAAATTTGATCTTGTGTAAGCAGGTCATCACGATTGCTGTTAATTTTCTATAGTAACACTGTCAATTATTCTTTACCCAGTACAACTAGAAATGTTGAAAGTACCAGTTATAGATCGTAACCGAAACACTTTCAATCGCTCAGCGACACAGCCAGATCACAACGCGAGCGGTGTGTTTTTTTTAGATTGAACTTCGACCTTGGTTCTTTTTTTCAACACTAATTTCAGTTGCATTTGACTTACTTTACTTGTTTAATTACATTTCCGGAAAGTGTTAATTTCTAGGACCCCAGGACAGCTCCAGAGAACCATCAGCAAAGGTCAGCGATACACTTTCACTCTAGTTTTACCCTTATCCGTATTTCGATGGTTCTATAATTGAAATAATAAGAATTTATCCTTAGAAATATGACACGATAAGCGACATTGATCAGCGCAGAAGTTCAAGAGGTATCAAACGAGGAGCAGAGTGAGTCAACTAAGTATCAACACTTTTATTCCTGTCCATTATTTATTTCGAGGGTTTTTTCTTGAGAATTTTAATTTTTTAATTGTCATATTATTTGAGGGTTTTTCTGCGAATTCATCTTTTAAGGGTGAGCGCTTTGAATCATTTTGTGTTGCGGGATTTTTGTTCACAGGTGCGCGCGGGATTGTTCTATTGAAGTCGGGCGTGCTTCTTGAAATATCTGGTGCTTTGAGATTACGCGCGAGTTTTTTCCATATGAGTCTTCTGAGAAGGTCGGTTTTATTTTTATGAAGTACTTTTTTGATGGTATTCGTGTTTGCTTTCTCATAGTTTCTTGGCGCTTGTCCAAAGGTATTCTGTAGTGTCTGGTAGTCGTCTTTTATATTTCTTGTCAAGTGAACGGTTTTTTACGCAATTTCTATCGCGTTCTTGATTTACCTAACTAAACATTGCTCTTTGTTACTGTTATTTGTTGACTCGTTATCAGTTCTCCAATGCTGCGATGAGTTGCTATGTCACCTTTCGTACGCAATCCGCCTAAAGGTTGACAACTGTAATTTTATCCGGTCGGTTCTGTCTTTTGAAAATTTGAGGTGTTGGCCCTTTCTATCTTCTCCTACTTCATATGCTTGCTATAACTACTGTGTGAATGCGATTTTAGTCATTAGAATGCGCATGTCACCTTTTCTGACGGTGTACGTGAAACTAAGTCACCGCCACTCGTCGCTGGGTAATTGTTAGGTAGCAACGGGATTTTTTTAAGTCTCCCGAATAAAAGCTTATCGACCTGCGCGAGGTTTTGAAACCATATGTCGGGGCGAGAGCATTTCTTCATATTGTCGGAGGTTTTCTAAGAGCCTTTCTAATGCTGAATGTTTCTAAGCATGTTTGCTGCTGCTTCTTTATATCTTTCGTTGGGGACAATAAAAGCCTAGACATAGTAACCCAAAAAGAAATGCTGTCGTTGGTTTCGAAGAATCGCTAAGAGCAGCTATAGTTCTAAAGACTAACCAGGTTACGACATCTGCTCACTGCTGGCTCCTAGAGCTTCCTGAAGACATCACTTGCCATTACCTATTTAATTGCAGTAGGAATGCAGCGATTCCAAGAGGCCGTGATTCACGAATTGCTGGCGATCAGGGTAGTTGACAGGCGGGATCACCGATCACGAGCTGGGTGAGGGTGCTCCGAGGACACCCTTACTCTATGGCAAACCGTTGTCCAAAAGTTACCATACCTGTTGGATCGACAAAGGGTCACCGGACGTAGGTCTGCACCCAATTTGCTCAAGTACATCACTAAAGGGTTAACTTAGGAGAGTGAACGATATAACCGTCTTCACGTGGATAGATATTGTTCACTCTTGCGAGTGCGGATCGCGCGAAGTTGTGGCTATGGATGAAAGTTCCTGTGCTACATGTTAGATACATATGCTGTGAAAAGTTAGGAAAAACCGCGACAATATATGGTTCGTATTTTGTCATATCGTATTTCGATATATTTTCGGGCGGCACAGTATCCGTTAGGCTAAACATTCCCTAGAAGGATAAGAACGGGTTTTGCACTGTGATTGTGGCATTCAACACTTTTATCGATTAAATTTGTATGATGTTTGATGTTGGGTGATTGAAAGGGACATCGAACTTATGGACGTGGTGGAAGGGCGCGAGTATTGTTGGGAATACTGTTTAAAATGAAGTGTGGAAATATGAGTTTTTCAAATAATTGGGTAAATCCGCAATTACTTTCGTTCCGACCTAGTAGAAAACGTGCATTCAAAACTCATCCACAGCATTGGAGATTAACCGAGAATACCTTGTTGTAAATAGTATAGTTTAGTTTCGTTTTTAAATAGTTTGTTTGTCTTCGAGGTATACCTAGCTTATTTTATTGTACCATTCATTCTATTAGGTTTGTAACCTCCTCCATCCCGCCATTTCGGCACAAGAAGTAGAGCTCTTTGTATTTAATGTAATAATAGCAAGTCATATTAATTATGCTGTACATACACTACCATGTTGTACAACAGAGGTGTAGAGGGGAAGTTTCTTCAGCGCTGAATATGATAAACGTCGGAAAGAGGCGTTGGTTTAGCTGGAAGAGCAGCTACGGCTAACGAATCGCTTTTTGAAATGATCTGGAATATTATAATATCTACAGGTAGTATGTCGATCTGGAATATAATAATGTCACCATTTTTGCCTATGAAATATCTAATTAGGTACAGTAACTAATTATTTTGTTGCATTTACATTACTACCGATATGCAACTTTCTAGTGTGTCTGGTGACGTTTGGGACCTTCTCTTGGACTAATTTTTGATGATATGTGGGTTTATTCGGGAACTGTGCAACGTTTTTTTGAAGTTCGATGTGATTTTTTTATTGGCCGTGGGCTTGCCGTCTCACTTTCTTTTCATATTAACATGTACTAGAGTAGTTTTCCGATTTTGTCTTAGTTTAGTCGCCGAATTTTTGAGGGATACTTTCAAGGAGTTTTTTTCAACGGGTAGATAAACCCTCACGTCCATTCGTTTATTAATTCATTAATTTCCTGGCTATATGCTAGGGCCTGAATCATGTGTGTTCTGACAAAATGTCGACCGTAACCAACCTCCTGAATGCGTATGCATCCACAACCCCCATGTGCGGATTATGCCGAAATGTCATCAAGAACATTCTATGTGGTCCGGCGCCGATTTTATCCAGAATTAAGAAACCGAAAAAGGCCAGCACTCCTACACATCGAGAAATCTCCAAAGACGGTGCATACGGCCTGAAAGCATAAGAGGAGCGTTATTTTTATGGAGAGTCATAAAAACTTACCTTCTATCAAAGAAAGCCCCAAAAGTTTGCATTGTGACTGACTAAGGAAGATCTTGAGCGTAAAGTCGATATAGCTCAGGTTGCCGGTATATTCGAAATGCTAAAGATTTCCGCCAAAAGCCAGTCCGTGAGTAGTCCGAAGCATAGGTTTTTTACCAATACCGTCAACGTGTCTGGCGTTGTATTCTACGGGTCTTGCTCGGGCCTGAAGTTAATAATAACGCGAATTTCCCGACAAAAGTAAAGGATTCCGACGTACCTCTGGATTCTAAGGCGGTGTCGACCCAAGCTTTATGCCAATGAAACCGCTGCACAGGAATCTAGGGAACATCAGGGGGTAGAGTGCGGGCTTGATTGTGGGAAGAATGTAAGTCAGCAGTTTCGTTATAACCTCAACAGGAGATGCAGGACCATTGTACAGGACCCGTATTGGTGTATTGATGCGATTCGGTCCAATTACAATGCAGAAGCTTTTGCTATGGTGCAATTGTGTTTTATCCTTCGACTTGCGACAATCTATATATAGTGGGAAGGAATTTGGGTTTTTAAGGAGTGGAGGTGGAGGGAGTCGTTCTCCATCTGTTGAGGTGTAATAGATGAGGATAGGTATATAATGGAAGGTATCTTTGTCGTTAGTATGATAAGCAATGCCAGAGGTTTTTGTCATTATTTGCATTGTTTGCAAGGTGTTAGAGATCACTTATTATGGTGCTTATCCTCTCCCATCTGTTCCGTGGGGCTAATGGCAAATATCCAGTACAGATGGTGCTCCGCGTCATTCGATGGGATTCGGCCAGTCCTTACAGAAGCCCTTCAATGGAAGCAGTGTTTATCCCCCGAGTGTTTCGAGCGTGGCGTTTTATCAAGCGTCCTTTCCTGGTTCTAGTCGTAGAAGTTGCAGTGCACAATAAGCCCCCGCCTCCATGGATTTTCAGATTTCGTGCTCAAGCCCCAGCGACCATCAACAAATACATCTGAGAGGAATTACCCCTGATAGGTAATAGCATGGTATTTTACCAAGAAGACTACTTAAAGGCAAAAGTCGGGCTCAATAAGGGGTATTATGGCGATTGAAACTGAGTATGAGATGCGAAGTGGAACGACAGTGGAGAAAAAACTGAGAAAAACCGTCGACAAGGCCGTTAACAAAACCCTCTTTCCCACTAGCAGTGAAGGAGGCTGGCTTGGGGAAGAGGCACGTACAAACAAGTTTTCTGAAGATGTCAGTCGTTCTATCGGTTGATACGGCAATAAGCCTAGCTGATTTCACACGTTATGGGCTTGCACATTTTCCTGACGAGTTGGAAGTGTTGTGCGGTCCTGGTGGACAGGGGCCCTGGATTGAAAGAACGCCGGTGCTATTTGTAGCATGCCTGAGCGACTTTGAATACTTGGCTACCAATTTCATCTCGGTGCGTGGTTACACTCGAGAGTTGTTACGTTAGAATCAAACCGGTGCGGCAAAGCCACGTGATGCATTGTTCGATATTAGCCGCCGGAGGCGCGCTATTGCCTGCCCACTTCGGAGACAAAGAAAAATGGTGCGTGTGTGGATAACCCGTGTGAATCGCGGGCGTCGATATGGCCGTTATAACCGCGGAAGAGCCAGTAATGACCGGCTGGTCGTCCCGAAAACTGTTTTTAGACGCGCCTTCTCTCTCCAGCCGCTCCTCCATGACTAGAGGGAAGGAGGTTTTGTTTCGCGTCGACGGTTTTTTTCTTTTTTCTCCGCTATCGGTCGTATTCACATTCTCCCACTCAGTTCAATCACATAGCACACCCACATTTGTAACCCAGTCTCTAAGTGGTTTGATTGATTGGCCAGTGCCAGAACCTTTAGGGTTCTTCAAAGGAGAATTGACCGATGAAAAGCAACCCATTCCATTGAGGTAGACG